TTGGACAGCATTCAGCAAACCCTTAAGCTTGCCTAACCCAGAGACCACTCCTGGGCATGTATGCGGGTACTGGCCAAATGTTCTTAGCATCGTGAGGGCGGAAAGAATGACTTCTCTTTTAGAGAGATGGATTTTGTTGAATGTAACAAAGGTGCAATCACAGAAATATTTACAGATGAAATTATATTTGGAATTTGTTTCAAAATTATGGTAGGGGAGTGTATGATTGGCCATGAGTTGGTAACTTTCAAAGCTAAATGACATGTTCATGGGTGTATATTATACAATTCTTTCATCTTTTGTATATGTTTGAAATTTTCCTTGATAACAAATTTAGTTATTTCCCTTTTTTCTTTCTTTACCTTGCAGTCTCAGCTCAAAGAACATAATAAAGAATTCTGTAAGCGCCATGAGGACTCATCTTTAATGAGGATTTTGCAGAGAAGTCCAGAAGTCTCTGATGATTTTGCAGTGTGGGGACAATAGCTGGACTGTCTTTCTTTACTTGTTGATTCACCAAAGCAATTAATGACTTTGTAGCTGAGTCTCCTGCAAACCTAGTGAGGCAAAAACACCCAACTCTAGCCTTGAGCTCTGAAGAAAAAAAATCCACTTGAGTATAAGTATCATAGATGTGCAATGCCGGAAAGGCCTTGGTGCTCATGAGCTGTGTCTGTTTACTAAGAAGAGGTTGGTATATAAAATGAGTGCCCAAATTTCCCTATTACAACACTTTTGCAAAAGCTGGAGACTTGATTTTCCAGCTGCAGAATTCAAACATGGACCACCTTGTTGCTTACAATGCATCAATAGTACCAGTTTTATGAAAGGGCAGGACTCTGTGGAATTGGGAAAAGTCTCCTGGGACCCCAAACTTTCCCCATTACTTTGATGAATGCTTGAAGTACAATCCACTCTATTTCACTGCCTTGGTTTAAGGCTCTGACTACTAAAATGTGAATACTGTATCTCTGGATGAGATGGTCACTTACACATCAGTTCAAATAATTTTATCAGTTCTTGTTAATGAGGAGGAAATGGAGAGAAATGGGCTGAAGCTCAAGGCTACAGAAATGGGGTTGCACAGAATGGAGAGAGGAGCCACTGGGGTGAGGGGAGTATCTAGGGACAGACTTCTCTGATTTCACACATTTACCAAGGTTCAGTAGAAACAGTAATTACATAGAAAGAACTCAGGTGATCTGTCTAAACTACACAATACTGCTTGTAAAGCTATACCCAGGATTTAAAAGACCTAGTTTCAGACACATGTAGACTCAGTGACAATATTAAAACAGCCAACATTTTTATTTATTATTGTATATGAAACATGTGTATGCATTATCTAACTCAGTCCTCATGAACCTTATGAGTTGATGCCATCATTATCACCCTTTTTGCTAGGTGAGGGAACTGAGCATCAGAGAAAAAAAGTGGTTTGCCCAAATTCACACAGCTGGTGAATGACAGAGCCAAGACTTGAAACCAGGTCTATCCAGAGCCCATATTCTCACCACTAAGCCTCCACTGTCTCAGATCAGTGATGTGCTTTTCATGCAAGTTTATATGTAAAGTTCAGCAGCCTTTGGTCTTGGCATCTTCCTGAGCCAAGCCATAGTTTGGCTAATACATTTTTGACAGGTCCCCATTTTGGCTTTTATGGTGAGCCATCAGCTTCAGGCAGTCAGGAACAGTTTCAATGGACCATGCCCTGGCTGTGCCCAAGGAGGTGATATTCTGAGTATGTGATTGACATTCTGCCAGAAAGGAAAGAAAAGAGTTCTCTGAAAACCAATCTGGTTCAAGAAAAGAACACTGGCAAGGTCTCTGCAGGCAGCATCGACTGAGGGCTCACTTTGTAGATAGGAAAAGCCTTTCCTTTCCTCCCCACTGGAGGAGGGGGGCTTTGGGGCTCTTTTCATCTAGGATCAGCTGAAAATCGGACACCCTCATTCTTTCTTTCTGTCCTCATGCTAGTGCTTAAGATCAATCAGATAGGACATGGAGACCAACCAGTTGACAAATTAATTGCATATTCCCAGTTACATACAATCAAGGGAGCCACGTAAAGTTAAAATAAATTATTAATGTAAATATACTGAACATCTGCAATGTGCTGAGCACTGAGCTAGGATTCAGAAATGGCTAAGATGACGGTCCTTGCCTTAAACAGCTTGAAGTCCAGAGAGGGATACCACCATACAGAAAACAAGGCCATACAGGTCATAAGAACCATATTTGAGGTACGCAGGAAGGACTGAAAATCCAAAGTGGGGAATGATTAGTTCATCCCAGGATGCGGGGGAGGACTTTACCAATACTTACGTGACTTTTGTCTTGGTATTTAATGTTTGAGGCTAAGTGGAAGTTTGCTAGGAAGACAAAGGAAATAGGAAGTGGTGGAAGGCATTTCTGGAAGAGGGTGCAGCATATACAAAGGCATGAAGATATGAAATTTTGCAGGTAATGAAGAAAAGATCTACATGCTAGAAAGATGTGAGTAAGTAGAAGAAGGTAAGGCTGGAAAGAAAGTGGGGGATATACCATGATAGGAGCAGGGTTTTTTAGAGGAAACAATCAATTGCAGAAGGATTAAGGCTGCGGGTGAGATGAAGCATAGAGGTGCCTATGTACAAAGATGGAGATGCATGGTGGATCATTACTGGGGCCAGAAGAATGCAGGAAGAAATCATAAGCATCTGAGTAAACTTGAAACCATGGGCTTGCATCAACTCTCCAGGGCAAAGGGCAGAGAGAGAAGCAAAGAAGGCCCAGGACAGAAACCTGGGAAACATCAGCACACAAGCAAAAGAAATAACCAGCAGAAAACAAGTCACTGCACCTAAGAGTTATATCCCCAGCCTCCACTCACCCTTCTCCAGATTTTCTAGCAAGAAACTAAACAAATGATTAGGATTTTCCCCCCAACTCCCAGTACCTGTCTCCCCTTCTCATATTTGCTTTCCTCCTTCTCTTCCCTTCTATTCCTTCCCTCGCATCTCCCTCCAAGGGAGGTCTTGATGAGCAGAAAACCTCCACCTGGACTTTGCCTGCCCCAGGAGCTGCCTTGGTTGGAGCAGGGGTCAGGCTGGCAGAAGGTCCACTGGAAGGGCTGACTTTCAGAAGCTCCACTGGAGCCCAGTAACTTGGATGGCTTCTCATTTGCTGTAACTGGTTTAAGTGTACTGATCAATGAAATGACCATCCAGGCCACTACTGGCCTCCAAATGGACTTAGGGCTGCAGGAAGCAAGAGTTCTCCACCCTCAGAAAGGGACGAGAAGCATCTGAACTAGAAGTTGTGAGCATTCAGCCATTGGGGCCACCAATGTTGAACGGCGCCTCCTGGCCTGCAAGCTGGACAACCTGGGCTGATACCTGGCAGACAAAGCCCTGGCCTTCTGAGACTGGGGCAAAGCTCCACAGTATTTATGCCACCACCTCCTACCCCACCTTGGGAAACTAGAAAAAGCCAAGCCACCCCCAAGCTTTGGAATTCCTCAGGCAGACATCACCCTGAAGAAAAATAGGGTGCATCTCCACCTGGACATACTGAGCCTCCACCCCTGTATTAGTCCAGATTTATTTGGCTCATGGTTTCTGCAGGCTGTACAAACACAGCACTAGCATCTGCTGCTGGTGAGGTCCCAGGAAGCTTTTATTCATGGTGGTGGGAAGGGGAAGCAGATGTGTCACATAGCAAGAGAGGGAGCAAGAGAGAGAGGAGGGAGGTGCCAGACACATTACAACAACCAGCTCTCACGTGAACTAATAGAGCAGGGACTCACTCATTACCATGGGGAGGATACCAAGACATGCATGAGGGATATGCTCCCATGACCCGAACACCTCCCACTAGGCCCACCTCCAACACTGGGGATTGCATTTTAACATGAGATTTGGAGGGGACAAATATTCAAACTATGTCAACCCCACACCTAACTTATGGAGGCCAAACACAGGAGAGGACAAGAGTGTCCTCTTAGGGAAGCCCCTCTATCTGACTGAGGAGGATACTCTACTTTCAGAAGCAGGGAAACCAAGGATCCTGGGATAGTGGCAAAAGGGAGAGGTCAGAGCTCCAATCTAGCTATGCAGCCTCACATGCTTCTGGAGTATCCCTCTCCACCAGCTGGTTCTCTATCAATAAAATGATGGTAGTATCTATAGTGCAGGATTATGGAAAATCTATCAAGGAGCCCAACATATGGTGGCTCCTCAACTTACGGCTGATATGCTAAGCCAAGCATTTGCAATGTTGCTTTCATCCCTTGGACAGCCTCCTGTCCTTCAGAGCTCCTCTTCCTGCTAGCAGCTTCCTGTGGGCCCATCTTCTTTCTTTACATGCTCATGAACTGAGGTGAAATAAACTCTAATAGCAACTGAATAAAAGCTCACATGCCCAGCTATGGGAATAAGGGATGGAAGGCAATGGCAGTATGAAAGTGAGAGTATCCCAAACCCAAGGGGATCCTCAGGGAGAACGAGGTGCCACCCTCCTGAGTTTCTCACTGGAGCTCACTTTCATAAAGCCTTGCTTTCAGTGGTTAAATAAGGGAGGCTGGGACCACATGGATAGTGAAGGTCCTGGGACTTACTCGTCAGCATAAAATCGGCTCCCTAGAAATGTCCCATGGGTTTCTGACATGGTCAAGCCCATTCCTTATCTTTACCCCTAGACTCTTCCTCTATTCCTTCAACAGAAATCTCCCTTTTCTGGGACTTACAGAATCAGCTATCTCAGCAAGGTGAACTTGACTCCCTGTGGACTGTGGCCTGGCATTTTTATTGTTACATGCATGGGTGGGTGAGTGACTATATGTGTCTCTGTGTACAATCCGGCAGTTCTATCTTCCTCCTCAGACAGATTTCTTTGCACCTCCTGCCTGCACCACTCCTACCTTGAACAACAACAACCAACAATTATATTGTACTTCCCATGTTCCAGGCACGATTCTAAGCACTTGGTCTGCGTTACTTCATTTAATCTTCACAACCCTATAAAGTAGACAGTATTATTTATTGCCATTTGAGAGAGGAAGAAATCATGGCACAGAGGGAGTAAGTACCTTCCACATGATCACACAGCTAATTAACAGCAGAGGCAGGTTCAAACCCAGGCAGTCTCACCTCAAAGTCTGTGCTTTTTACTTCCAAGGTACATAGCACCCTAAACGTAGAAAGGCTGTAACCCTCAGAGGTACAGCCCACCCCCAAAATTCTTGCCCCAGCATGGGGCAGATTGCTAAAATAGGACAGCTATAAGCAGTGAGGGTGGGAGTGACCCTTAAGGACACCCTGAGGCATATGAGGCATAGCTTCAAAAAGAGACCCTGAACAGAGCAGCCCTGGGAAACAGCCACGCAGACACACCAGCCTGGCACGTCAGCAAAGAAGCAGCCGACTTTGAGCTGGGCTGCCTATTACCCTCACAGTCCACACGGTGACAAGCTTTGCAAATACCGGCCAGAGCCATGGGACTAAAGAAGAATCCTCATGTGTGCACAGCTTGGAAAGGACACACACACAGAGAAAGAATAGTCATCCATAGGAGCACCATCTTTAAATAGAAAAGATAGCCTGAAATACACTCTGAGCTCGCGGGTGCTCACACACACAGACACACACGGCCAGGGCCAGAGGAGTGACTGAACAAATGCCTCAGCTGTGCTGGTGGCAACGGGAGGAAATCTAGTGCCCTGGCAGCTCCTGACTTTCAGTTCCTATTTAAAATGTCTGAATTGGGAGCATCGACAAGCTCCCAAATTAGCTTTTTAAATAGAAGCTGAGAGTTAAAGGAAAAGCGGCCGTGTCATGGGGGAAAACCAAGTGAAAATCCCGGCCAGGCCGGGACCAGAGGCAGAGGGGGAAGGTGAGGACAGGCAGTGCTGGAAAGATGCAATAGATGACTGGGGACTGGTAGGAGGGACAGCATCTCCTGGGCAGTAGGGCTACTCCAGCTGCCTGAGCCAAGGGGCCTCCTTTCTCCCCATTGCTTGCTCTCATTTTGCAGATCACCTGGTTGTAGGAAGGGCTGGTAAACAAAACTCACACTGGCCTAGACTAGAAATCCCAGTCTTTCCTATTTTCCCTAGATGGTTAAGACAGAAAGGAGAGAATAGTCTACAGCTACCACACTTAAGCAATGAGTTACGAGCTTATGAGGAAAGAGGAGGCAGGTGTCTGGACCAGTGTCTGGTCTTCAAACGGAGCTTACGAGTCTCAGGAGGCCACAACTGTCCCGTTAGTTGACTTTCTGAGGAGAAAAGATGTCCCCAACTGTCTCCTGAGGCCTCCAAACAGTGAGGAAGACTCAACCCCTGAGCTGCCCCCAAGATGCTAAACAACAGAGAGAATGTACAGGAGTTCAAACCTGGGCAGAAAAAAAATATGGGTTTCACTTTCCCGACCTGAACATGGGACGGAGGACTGAAGGAAAGTGCCCCCGCCTCCTGAGTAGTGACCACCCAGGACCCGAGGCACTGTCTCCCCGGGGTCAGAGGAACTGAGGTGTGCAGTTGCCAGAAAATTAGCCCTTCCCCAGAGGGAAGGGAGGAGGGAGGTGGGAGCAGCGCCAGGGCCTTCCCTGAATTCTTCCCCTGTCTGCCAGGGAGTGGCAGTGTTGTTAATCATTATTACTGTATGCAAATCCCACACAGCTCCGGGACTCCTGGCAAACGCTAATGGAGCCCACGCCCACCTCCTGAAGGGCCAATTGTGTACCTTTTAAACTGACAGACTGAAGGGGGCTCCGGAAAAAGTAAGAGTGAGTGAATGAGGGACTCCAAGGTGCCAGGGGCCCACAAGGGCCCAGGCCACAATTACCGACTCCCACTCCTTCATCTGGAGGAGGGCTAGGGGTTCTCACAAGCCAGAAGCCCCGTTCCGGATTCAGGGAGGTCGTTTTCCAGCCCTGGGTCTACAGTTGTCCTAGGGTCTAGAACACCCTCGCAGTCTAGAACACCCCCGCGGTCACAACGCACTTCGCGTTCCTCTGCCTCGGCACCCACCTCTCCACACCCAGAAATGTGATCCCTCAAGCCAAGCGTTACCCGTCCCTGCTGGGGCACCGAGCTGCCTCGCTTCCGGAGCGCCAGGCCGAGATCGGGGGTTCCAGGCACCGAGGCTGGAGACACCGGGAAAGCCGGAGCCGCGGGTCCGCCCAGCGTCTGGGACTGCGCCCTTTGCGCGCCGCCGCCCTGAGGGTGGGAATCTGGGCCGAACACCTGGCCCTGTGGGCCCATGCTGACCTTCCCACTCCCCATCCTGGGTCGACGAGGCACGGGGCAGTGGGGACCCATGGGCTTCATGGAGGGACTGAGGAGCTGGGCGGGCTCCCGTTGGAAGGGGACCGGCTCGGGTGAGAGTTCACGCTCTCAAGTCCAGACTCTCGGTCTGGGTAGTGGGTAGACGTGGCGGAATAGGAGGGCGAATCTCGACCTTCCGATGGTGTCTTCGCCCTCCGAGAGGAGAGAGAGCGGCTCATACGTGGGGTTAGAGGCAGTGTGTCCCCTGGGTACCTCTTCAGCCTCTGCACTCGGAGCTGAGAGCCGGGGGCCAGCCGCGAAGCTTGCGCGGTAGGGGGCCCCACCTTGCCAGGTGGCCGGGCTTGGTCTCAAGCAGATGCTGCTGCCCTGTGGACAGTCAGCGAGAAATAGACACACAGCTAGGTGCACACACACCCCACGCGCGCACACGCCGGCGCTCCCTGCCACCTCTCCGTGGGTCCCCAGCCACACACGCCCCCGAACTTACGCTCACGCCGTACTCGCCGCTCCTCCCCACCCCCAAACCCAGCTCACCTTGCCACACTCACCCCCGTGCCCACCCTCGCTGGCACACGCGCTCACACCCGCGTCGGTACACTCCGCCACCTCCAGGCACACCCTAGGATTCCTCCACTCGCCCGGGGAGACGCACCAGGCTCTGCCTCGTTTCCCCACCCCCCGCTCACGCGCGCGCCCCTCTCCACACACACAGACACACACACACGCACTCACACTCTTACACACCCTCGCGCGCGGAGTCACTCCCCCTCGCACGCCCTCGCCCTGGGCACCCTCCCGCGGCGAGACTCCAGGTCCTCCTCCTCTCTCCCTCCGCTGCCTGGCGGCTCGGCTCTCTCCGGCCCGGCGCTCTCCGGCCCGGCCTGGGGCCGCAGGGCCCGCGGGGATCGGAAGAGAGCCGAGGGCGCAGCCTTGCCGCCTCCCCCGGACTCTCCTCTCCTCCCCGCCCCGCCTGCGCCGCGCCCCCACCACCTCCCCCCTCGGGAAAGGGACCTCGAGAGAGGCAGCCCGCGGCCGGCCGGGCTCCGCTCGGCGCGGCGCCGGCAGCGGCGGGGGCAGGGAGCGAGCGAGGGAGCCCGCGAGCCCGCGAGCGGAGCGGCGAGGCGGGGAGGGGACGCACTGCTGAGCCGGGGCTGGAGCGGCGGAGGCTGCGGCAGCGGCGGCGGCGGCAGTGGCGGCGGCAGTGGCGGCGGCAGTGGCGGCGGGGGAGGGAGGGCCCCACGGACGGACGGACGCACGAACCGACCGAGCGAGGGAGGCAGCGAGCGAGACTTCGCTGGCGAGGAGGAGCCGCGCAAGCGGCGGCTGCTGGGCGCTTCCCCGCGCTGCTGGGCGCTCGGCGCCTCCGCGGCCCCCGGCTCCCGGCTGCAGCTTCCTCGCGCGCGCGGGGCGCCGGGCGCGGGGCCCGGGCTGGCTTCGCGGAAGGTAAGAGGGACGCGACCGAGCCTTCTGGAGCCAGGAAGTGCGAGGAGCGCTGCTCCCACGCCTGTTGCTCCGGCTGCCCACGCGGCACCCTCCCACTCCCGCGCCCGGGTGGGTGGGCGCTGGGGCGCCGGAAGGATTGGGGGTGGGGCCCGTGCCGTGGGGGAGCAGGCAGCCGGCCCGGGGGCGTCGGTTCCCTCGGGCTATGGAGCCACCTCCGGGCAGCCAGGCGCTGGGGTTCGGGGGTGGGGTGTGAACCTCTGCCCTCTTTCCATTGGCCTGTCTTCCCTCGGCGGGTGCCAGAGACAGGTGGCGAAGGCTTGCTCCGTCCCCGCTCTTGGTGAGGGGAGAAGGAGAGAAATGGCTGAAAGTGGAAACCGGGAGCGGTTTGGGGCGCTTCGCAAAGTTCTCCAGCCCGGCGAGCCGGCGGTGTGTCTACCAGAGGCTGGGGGCCAGTCCGTCTGGTCCTGCCCGACGCCGCTTCCACCCCGCGAGCTCTGGGAAAGGTCTCTACGTGACGCCAAGGGCCGTCGAGGCCCCGGGGAGGGGGATCGAAAGACTCACTTTGTGAGGTGTTTACATTGGAGGTGGGGGACGGGAAGGGACTGGGCAAAGTTACCTGGACTCAACTAAATTCCTGCGCTTGCTTAGTGTCGACATTTGAATACGATCCAAGATGTTCTGCTTTTATCCCGGGCAGCCCTGATATGTCAGCAACAGGCTGAGGTTCCAGACCTGAAATCGCACAGCAAGAAAAAGGGTCCGTGTATTTCTTAAGAGAGAGCGTCTGAACTTTCTCGGGGTCCTAGGCACAATGCGATGTTTGTAAGACCAGGCATGCGTTGCTGTATTTTGCATGAATGTACGTGATGGTTAAATGTATGCCTTGTTTACCTTACTTCGAGGGAGCCTGTATGTTTACTGTCTGTAGAAAGGGCTCCTGGGTGTGCACGAATTCAATACAAAGCATGTGTACATTTCCCCATGTGGACCTGTTGGCCCACAGGAAGGGAATTGATGTGTTTATTTTTTCCTTGTCTCTACTTGAATGCAACAAAATGCAAGTACACAAGGGACCCCTCTCCCCCACCCCCAGAGAAAGAGGTTGGTAGCTTGTTCCCTTTTGCTCTTAAGGAGGCTGGAGAAAAAGAGTTCAGGAAAGTGCCCTGGCTAGCCTAGGAGTGGCACTGTTGGAGAAGAGGATCTGTGCGTGTGTCCCAAGCCTGTCCCCCAAGGATCCCCAGCTTGGTTCACCTTGTCAGTTTCATGCTTTGCCTACCAAAATCCTGTGAACACAGGAGAAGCCCTCTGGGTCATGGGCACCTTCTGCTGCCCCCAGACCAGCCCTATTCTGAGCTAAGGGATGTGATGTGAGATTGTGGAAAGTAACTTTCCAGATGCTCTCCACTGAGGTCACTGAAGGACAGACCTTGGTGACATGACTTTTTTTCCTGCCTTATGCCTGTACTCAGCTAGGTGTCAAACCCCAGGACAGGCTGTCTGGTCACTCCGCCCACTTTTGGCCTTTTACCTCCAAAACAGAAGCTGTTTAATGGAGTAACTGACTTTTTACAGCAGGGGAAAATGTTTTCCTTTGCCAGGATTTGTCACCTTTTTCATTTCAGAGCTTACCTGTTTTGAATGTCTCTTTTCCAGCCTGCCCCCACCCCCTATCTTTCCCACTGTCAAACTCTTCTGCCAAAAACAAAAATAGCTTCAGATTTTTCATTTGTAAGGCGTCCACGTCCTAGTAAAACCTTGGCATTTGAGGCATGTGCAGTGCCATTGGCTGGAAATGGGGCCGCACTGTTGTGCCTGTTGCAGGAATTCATACCCAGGCCAGCTCCGGAAGGTGTTGGTTCCTGTCAGGGTGCGAACCCTGCTGTATAAGCCATGGAGAAGGCCTACTTGAGTGGGTCATTCCTGCAGGGTTGTGGGGTGGATATGGCCAGTGTAGCCTTGGGTATGTTGTCTGGTGGGACACTTGTCCTCCCCTTTCACCCTCCAACCCCCACACACAGAGAAAGTAACAATGGGGTAATTGCTCCTTTTTTGGTATGTTTTACCAGGGGGACAGCGGCTGAGCCTCTGGAGGCAGGCAGGTGCTTGCTTGGCCTTCTTTAGGAAGATTGCCCTGGATTCATGCATCGGGTAAACATTTGGCCTTGGGACCGGAAGCTTTTATGGTCTCAAGATAGGGAGGGGTTAATTTTTCCTTCTCCTGAGCTCTCAATTATTCATCTGAAAGCAGTTTGTAAAACACTACCGGTTTTTGGAGATTGGCTTAGGGTAGAGAGGAGAAGGTGATGAGACTCAGCTTGGCAGGGGCAGGTATTAAAACTTGGGAATCCGGGTAGAGCAGGACTAGGAGAATGAAAGGGGAAGGGCATCACCCTCTCAGGGGGCAGAACTCTGTGTCTGGCCACACAGGGTTCCACAGAGTGCCTGTAATTCAGTGGTCTCTTACTTTTTGCCTCTTGAACCCCCTCAAGATTCTGCCTCTCTGAGCTTTATTCTGGGATGAAACAGGATGTTAAGGGTTAAAGGTCCAGGGCTGAGAGTCTGGGAACTTGGTCTCCTTTACTCTCTAGGAAGGTGGCCAAGGGTCTGTGGGTGGACCAGGCCTTGAATTGCCCCTGGGTACCAAGTGACACAGGTTATGTGCCCTGTGCAGAGCACCAACCTCAGCAGGAATTCCCAGAACTCCCTTTGCTACCTTGAGGCTCAGGCTAACTCCATCCTCACAGCAACAAGCCCAGATGCTCTACTTCGTTCTTTGCATGGGTGCCTGTCATTAAGAGGTCTCAATGAGAACTAAGTTACAGACTTGATGTCCTGGATCCAGTGGAATCAGGGATCATTTGAGCCAAATGGTCTTTTGTCACGTTTCTGTCCAATTCTCAATTTACAGAGGAGGACTCTGAGGCCCAGAGGGTGATCATGGCTTGCTTTCACAAATTGAGGGTGGGATTGAAACTGGAATTGCAAGGCCTCATGAGCCCTTGCTCATTGCTGCCTGGGGAAGATAGGGAAAGGAGTCTCTGCATCTTGCTGTCTTCTGTTGGGAATATCAGTATTGGGCAACACCTAGATCAGGAAAGCCAGTTGGCAGTGAGGTGATCAATGGTCTATTTGAAAATTGTCAGCTCCTATATATACATAGAACTTAGCCACTTTGAAGGAGACTTCTGAACTTCCCTCTCCTTACCTGTAAGCTTTGGGCAGAAAAGCCTCTATCATAGGATTTTAGTGGGAATAAATTAAATATTGTGTGTAAAAGTGTCTCAGACAGTGTCCAGAGCATTGTTGGTGCTCAATAAATGTAACCAACTCTGAATTGGAATCACCTGTGAACAGAGTTGAACTTGTGGACTTGCTTCTCAAACATCCCTTGCCCATTGGAAATAAATCCTAGCTAAGTGCATGCTGAGGAACTACTAAGTCTCCTAATCCTAAACAAAGTATAGTTAGAAGGGTAAATTTCTTCTAGAAAGAAATACAATGCAGGATGTGTTCCCGACTCTTCTATCAGTAGCATGTGAATTACCCACTGCCATGCATGAACGACCTCCATTCTTTCCTCAGTTCCTCAGTTCCAGTAATCAGGAGCTCATCAGGCCTGTGCTGTTTTTCTGTTCTCTGAGCAGTGACACTTACGGGAAATGTCATTGTCATTCCTGTTATCTTCTGTAGCATCTGACTCAACCTCCCTTTATTAGAGAGAGAAGGGCCCTGTGACAATTCCCTTTAGCATGCAGATGGGGAAACTGAGGCAGAGATTGGCTTCTTTAGAAAACTTGACTGAGTCAGAGGCAGATACTTGAATTGGATTCTTTTGATTCAGATCTGTCTTCAGATTTTACTGTCTGTTTGGAGACAGAACGCTCACCCTTGGCAACCCCTGAAATATATTAGCAAGGCATAGAGTAAAGTTAATGGGGAAAAAATGGCACCTATAAAACTGGGGTCCCAGCTCAAGCACCTACTGATGCAGTGCACTATGCTGCCTTCTGGGTTGTGATATGAAAGTGGAGGCATCTCGGCCTTTGCCCAGAAGAGCTTAGTGTGGGATAGGGAAGGTTGGGGAGTGGTCTGGCTGTACTCTTGAACTCCACATTGAGTCTGCCTGGCTTTAATGGCTGCGCCTACTTATTACATCCTTTAGACAATTATTACAACTCCTTATGCTTCATCTTTCTTTTGTAGAAAAAATATGGCCTACAGTGGTGTCTATTCCTCAGGGTTGTTGGTGAGATCTCTTGAGATGCTCAATGTAAGTGTATGGTACTGTGCCCGGCACACCGTCAGCCCTCAGCAGACTGCCTGAGGTGGAATCCCTATTCTGCCGCTTTGGGGTTGTTAGACTGCTATGTCTCAGTAAGCTTTAGCTTTCCTTATCTATGAAATGGGGGACACAACAGACTCTTCTTCCTAGGGTTGCTGTGAGGGTTAAATGAGATAATCTATGGGAGATAGTTAGTGTAATGCCTTGCATAGTGTAAGTGCTCAATTGTTAGTCATTATTAATAATATGTGTATAAAGTATGTGTAATCCTAGCTGTGGGGTGATAGGTGCTAGGGAAGAGGGCAAACAATGAGTCAAGACCCCAGAGGAAGAAGAGAATCTCATAGTGGGGAGAGGAGAAGGCATCACAGAGAGGGTGATGAATAGGTAGGATTCTAATAGGAGGGGTCCAGGGGAAGGATATTCTCATGAGAAGGAAGAGTGGTCCAGAGGCAGACCTCCCCAGGGTCTGTCCATGAACAGGTCTTGGTCTTATTGCTGGAGACTAGGACGGGTACCTGGGCCATTGGGCTGGAGTATGAAGCTAGGATCTATTTGTGGGAATACTGGAATGCCAGGCCAGGAGTTTGGACTTTATTTTGTAGGTCATGGGGTAACATACAATCAGAACCTTGCTTTAGGGAGATAACACTGAGCAGAATGGATTTCAGGGGAACAGGAGAAACCGGGTGGGGTGTGAGAGTGAGCGACAAGAAGGTCCATGGGAAGGAGGCCCGAGGGACTTTGGGCCTTCATGAGGGCAGTAAGAGCTATTGCCTATTATTTGACAACTCTTTAGAGAAAAATCGTCAAGGTGACAGCCCTGCGGTTAGGGATGTCATGAAGAAAAGGCGAACAGCAGCTTTTTACAAGGAGGCAGGTTCTGTTTAAACCTGTCCACTTCAGAGGCATCTGAGCAGAAAAGTCCAGTGGCAGCTCAGGAGTTTGAGGGAGGTAGAGATCTGAAAAACCTCGAAGAGTTGGGAGTCAGGAGAAGGTGAAGCAGGTTTATAGGGAGAGATGAAGATCGACTCCCTATACAAGTCTTTGTGTAACAGAAAAAATTTTCCAAGACTCACCTCTTCCTCATTTATTTAAACATAGAATCACAGCAGCTGAATTCTAGAGGGCCCAAATAATTCCGAGTTAGGATTTGTTCTGTGTGATCAGTTTAGGATTAGTGGAGATGAGTGTGTCAACCCCAAACAATTTCCAATTTCTGTTACGTGTGTTTCTGTGTCACCACATGCCTTCCCACAGATGGTATACATTTGGGGACTGCAGAGCGATTTCACTATCATCTTTTAAAAGCCAGATTTGGAAAGGTAAATCTGCTTCCCAAAGCCAAATATAATTCTCCGTGCTATTGCTCCCTCTGTCCACCCAGGTAATGGGGAAGTGCTTATGCAGTGTGGTTTAGAGAGGTAAAGGGACAGGGTGGCCCGGCTCTGGAAAAATCTCTGAGGGTGGAGTGGGGGCCAGGTGAGAGAGGCTGCCATGGGAAGGAGTGTTGTTATATAACCTGAGGGAGCTATGGATGGTGGGCAGATGGAGATGGGAGGAGAGGAATCTAGGGACGGCAGTGAGCGTGGATCAGCTTCCTCTGGGGAGGGAAAGAGACGATGCATCGAAGTCAGGTGAACCAAGAAGCCAAGATGCCCTTCACAGAGCAGGAAAAGAGACCCTGCCTGGCCTCACAACCTTTCCCACGTCTTTCCATCATGGCTCTGAGGGTCTGAGGGGAAAAATTTGATACTAGGTTGCTAGGGCAAGGAGTAGGGGCTGAGTGTCCCACAGAGTAGCACTTTGTCAGGGAGAGCCTTCTCCATGGGAGTTGGGGACAGAACTTCACCAATCCTGGTGGTTACCTGCCATCTCAGAGAATTTTCTGGACTTGGGCAGCCCCAGCCTCCTCCCCACCAGGGAGGAGTAGAAAGAATTGTTTACCTGATCTCCCTCATCTACACCCCATTCCTGATTACCCCAGTGGGTGAAAGAGTGAAATAAAAATTAGCATGTTTATCCCACTTTTAAATTCGTTTAATAAGAACTCATTTATCCTCTCCCAATTTAAATTGGTAATAACGCCATAACCTTTCAGAGCTGATTATTACCCACATCTTGCCAGATCTTCCTGCTAAAGAGGCCTTCCCTCCAAATGCTTCTGAGCCCTCTTGGAACTTGACGATTTGTTAGGCAGTCATCAGCAACATCTGGGGATCCCACCCAGCTGAGCTCCGGGAGCTAGGTGTTCTCCCAGTGTCTGGATGGCAAAGAATCAAGTCACCTCTCTGGGGGGGGATTTCAGTTTTATTAATCTGCCCTGGAGACTTTGGCCGTTTTACTCACCAATGATCCTTTCCTGTGTCCCATTTCTTACCTGCCCGTCGATATGGACTCACCCCCTCTCTCTCTCCCCTCCTGTCTCCCAGGGTTTGCTGAACTAACTCCAAGCTGGTGTGCACAGTGTCCGCGCGGCTGCCGGCCCAAGAGCTGGAGTCACCATGGCAGCCGGAGTTGCGGCCTGGCTGCCTTTTGCCCGGGCTGCGGCCATCGGGTGGATGCCGGTGGCCAACTGCCCCATGCCCCTGGCCCCGGCCGACAAGAACAAGCGGCAGGATGAACTGATCGTCCTCAACGTGAGTGGGCGGAGGTTCCAGACCTGGAGGACCACGCTGGAGCGCTACCCGGACACCCTGCTGGGCAGCACGGAGAAGGAGTTCTTCTTCAACGAGGACACCAAGGAGTACTTCTTCGACCGGGACCCCGAGGTGTTCCGCTGCGTGCTCAACTTCTACCGCACGGGGAAGCTGCACTACCCGCGCTACGAATGCATCTCTGCCTACGACGATGAGCTGGCCTTCTACGGCATCCTCCCTGAGATCATCGGGGACTGCTGCTACGAGGAGTACAAGGACCGTAAGAGGGAGAACGCCGAGCGGCTCATGGACGACAATGACTCGGAGAACAACCAGGAGTCCATGCCCTCGCTCAGCTTCCGCCAGACCATGTGGCGGGCCTTCGAGAACCCCCACACCAGCACGCTGGCCCTGGTCTTCTACTACGTGACTGGCTTCTTCATCGCCGTCTCGGTCATCACCAATGTGGTGGAGACGGTGCCGTGCGGCACGGTCCCGGGCAGCAAGGAGCTGCCGTGCGGGGAGCGCTACTCGGTGGCCTTCTTCTGCCTGGACACGGCGTGCGTCATGATCTTTACCGTGGAGTACCTCCTGCGGCTCTTCGCGGCGCCCAGCCGCTACCGCTTCATCCGCAGCGTCATGAGCATCATCGACGTGGTGGCCATCATGCCCTACTACATCGGCCTGGTCATGACCAACAATGAGGACGTGTCCGGCGCCTTCGTCACGCTCCGGGTCTTCCGCGTCTTCAGGATCTTCAAGTTTTCCCGCCACTCCCAGGGCCTGCGGATCCTGGGCTACACACTGAAGAGCTGTGCCTCCGAACTGGGCTTTCTCCTCTTCTCCCTCACCATGGCCATCATCATCTTTGCCACTGTGATGTTTTATGCCGAGAAGGGCTCCTCGGCCAGCAAGTTCACAAGCATCCCTGCCTCATTTTGGTACACCATTGTCACCATGACCACACTGGGGTAAGTCAGCACTGGTGGATGAAACCAGGATGGAGGTTGGAGGACAGCTGGATGGCCTCTGAAGCCTTGATGGTGTCACCATGGGGAGAGGAGGAGGGAGTCCCTTACCCAGGTGGTGGGGGCAGGGGGAGTTGCTGTATGGGAAAGGGAAAGCCCATGAGTAATCTGTTTGGGGGTGGTGGCTTGATGGGAATTGAGTTTTCTTTTTGAGGTGGGGGCATGTGTTTTATAGAACTAAGAAAATTAAGTCACCAATTCTTTTTTCAGCCGTGCCTTGTGTGCGTGTGAAGTCTCGGGGTGAGGTGATGTCTGCATTCGTATATGCATCTGTGCATATAGGAGCTGCTTGGGGAGAAGGTCAGGGCAGTGGTTGGGGAGGGGGGAGACTGTTGAGAAGTTCGGGGGGTTCAGATGTCCATTAGCAGAAGACACCAAGAGCACTCTTTTTGGATCCTTTCTGCATTTTTTCTTTGTAGTATATTTGCAGGCCATTTTCCCATTTGTCGTGCTTTTCTCCTGTGCTGCCACAGACACTCAAGGGTTCAGTAGCTCTGAGCAGACTTTCTCTAAGTGACTCTGAACCTGGATTTTCCGCAAAGTGAGGCACCTGGTTTATTCTTTCTTTCTAAAGTAGTATCGGTCTTGCTTTCTTAGTCTGAGTCAGTGATTGAATGACCTGGGTGACTGTGAGATGGTCTGAATGGATCATGTGGTCAGACACAGAAGCAGGGACATCAGAAGGAGGGACCTCGGGGAGGTCATGGTAATTCTGTCTCTCTGAGGTCCCCTCTCCAGCTGAGGTCACAGAAATGTATCCATGATGCTGGGATGTGAAGCTTTCCATCAGAGGAAGGGAGCTAGGGAAAGAGATTTTAATCTTCACCCTAACAGGATTAGAGCCAGTAGAGATGGCTTTATGGAAACATAGATTTCTTAGGGGTTTCTGCCTCAGCTATTAGAAACCATGGAGCTGAATGCAAAATCCCTCCACAATTCATATACTGGGTCTATATTTGCTTAGGCCAGGAAGCGTTATATTGCTGATGGAGAATTCATGAAGCTTTTTATTTTGTCTTTGACAGTTTGGTTGGTGGTGTCCTGGTGATTTGATTTTTTTTTTTTTCCTGGCCGAAACCCGGAGGCAGTAGTGTCGGGTTTTCCATAGTGCTGCATATGCTTATTGGGAATGACTGAGCAGGTGATGAGAACTTTTAAAATGATTACATTTGTCATTCTGCCACACAGGAGAGTGAGGGAGTAGCAAGGGGAAGAGCAAGGGTGTCACCATCCATTTGTGAAGGCCACATTTGATTAAGGCATTCCCTTTACTTCTCATCTGTCTGACAGAACCACCCTGCCCATTCCTCCCACTCCAACACACACACATACACACACACACACACACACGCACACACACACACACTCTTCAAATGGCTGCTCACCCAGAGTGGGTAAGAATGTTTGGTCATTTGACCTTGTTTCTCTTGGTTCAGGTGGCAGATGTGGGCTTTTTGGCGCAGTGGGGTATTTTGGGGATAAAATGGGCTGGAGAAGTTGTGCTGTCAGGAGGTCATCTTTATCCCTTTTAGGCTGACCCTAGCCATCCCTTCACCTTCCTGAAGGGGACCTCACCCGTGGCCAGACACCTCACTTCCACTTCTAGTCAAGCTCCTGATGTGGCTCTGACTGCCCAGTGCCCTCAGATGCCCCTTGATGGGACTCATGACACCAGAGAGATCCTTCAGGATAGCCATGTGGAGGAAAACAGGCATGCCGATAACCACCTGCTCGTTGCTTTTTATTAGTAGTATAACAGCATATGATTGTCTACTATATGTCGACAGTGTACTAAGAACTTTGCATATATTATCTCTTTAAGTTTTTACAACAGCCCTGCAAGGTTGGAAAAAATTCTATACCCTATGAAGATGCAGAAGTTGAGGCTCAGAGAGATTATATAAACTTCCATAGTCACGTAGCTGATAAGGAGCAGAACTAATTTTCAAATACCAATCTGGCTGCTTCAATGCCCTTTCTCCTTTCACCCTACTACTCATTCCCGTGCCATCAGGTCCCCTAGGTAGAAATCAGACCTTCAGGGTTATTACTTTTTTATTATGGCCTCAGGGTGTGATACTCTCTTCTAGTCATATTGCCAGTCAAGAAAGCATCAGCCCAATGAGTATTATGTGTCAGGCACTGTACCAGACACACGGAGATTTTAAAAATAAAGCATTTCCTTCTGAGCAGTTTAAATACTGCCTTAGAAATTAATGGTGATTAATCCATGTTTTAATGCTCTGGGGAAACCGCTGACTTCTTTTATCATTCACCCTGTAGATTAAGGGGCAAGTCCAGCATCAAGGTGGACTATCTTGATCTCATTTTTACTTTCTTGGGAGGGCACTGGTAGATTCTGCTGGAGGGTGAAAGGAAGGTTGCCTGCATTAGGGAGAAGCGTGCTTTCCCTGAATGTGGACCTGGTGGGCTCCCTCACCCCACATCTGACAATGAACAAGTTTGTTTTACCTTCCCCGTGCATTTAAATGTCTAGCTTCTGGGAGGAGAAACAAACGGGCAAGAAAGGAAACCTTTAGTAGTGTCTTCCTTAAACTCAGATAAGTAATGAGGAAGCAACCTTTTTCTTTCCCTCTGTCCTGGCTAGTGCAGCTCATTGCTGGGTCAGGCTACTTTGACTTTGACCTGAGTTGGCAGTTGACACCATTACCAGGCTTGTTGCTTGGTTATACATAGCAAGTGCTTGGCAAAATGCTTTTAATGGATGAACCAGTGTGAATGGAGTGACTCTTCCATTTGTTTGACCTGATACTATTCTCAGTCCCTTCTAGACCTACTTGTTCTCTCTAGAAGGTGGATCTGAGATTTGAGCCTGCACAGCCTGAAGCCCCCTCAGATATATGTATTCTGCCCCAGCCCTGGTCCCCCAGGAGGGAGGAGAGCAGCCTTTACTTGGTGTCTGATCTATTCCCTGGGCTGCCCTGCAGTACTGTGGAGATCTTCTTGTCTTTACTGGACGTTTTGCTGACTTGACCCTGGAAACTTTTCCCTCTTCCATGGCTAGTTTCTGTCCTGACCACATTCATGGTTAATTGTAGCCTTGTTCAACCATTCCAGAAAGTCCATCTTTTTCTTACTCTACACTGGCATTTGAGTCCCAAGTGGCCATGGAATACCAAGGACCAATATCTTACCATCATTCAGTTGCTTCCAACAGCTCCCAGTAGACATCTACCTCTTCCTTTCTCCAGACACTCCCTTCCCTGGTCCTTCCCTGAGTTCCTGTTTCCAGTCCGGAGCGGGACTGTCTCCAGCTCTTCTGCAGGGCAGAGCCGACTGATGCACGGAGAGCTGATACACGGAGTAAAGGCATTCACTCTTCCTGCTCTGGTTGCCCTCTCTGCCTGCTTTCCCAGCACCTCGTTGATGAGTTACTCAGGTGTCCTCCAGGGAGAGATCTCCTGGAACCAATTATTACCGTTTAGTTAATATCTCAGAATACCTTAAGCACACAAGAACAATAACAGCCCAGCTGCTGTCAGGGCTTGAGGATGGCTTTCCTTTGCAGCCTCTTGTGCTACTGGGAAAGACCCTTGATGCTCTGCCCAGGTTTCCCTTGAGCCCCCTGACAGCTGAGTTCCCAAATGCCCCATTTGAGGATTAATTTCCATCCTCATAATTGACGCTATAAATAAAATCAATCCTCAGTTACCTCAGTTAACAGAGGGAAGGGATAACATAGAACTCCCAATTTTAAATAAGACCAACCTAACTACTTTGAGAATGCATTATATGACGTAAACTCTCTCAAAGCAGATTTCCCTTCTTAATTTCATTTGGCATCATGATTGTCCCGGACAGTCCATGGGAGAAGCTCCGGAGGGTCGGGGAAAGAGGAGAGCATGTGGGAGGAAAGCCTTGTGAGCAAGCATCCACAAGGACCAGGGGAGGCCAGCTCCAGGCCTGGTTTGGATGAGGCTGCTCTTGGGTATCTTCGGGAGGGGTTCAGAGCAGTGTCTGATCCTGATGAGATGGCCCACTGCTACTGGTTGTCTCGGTTATGTAATTGAGACCAGCAGCCTGTCTGTCACCCCGTGCTCTGAGATGAGAGAGCATTTGACAGTGTCCAAAAATCACTTTAATGAAAACAGAATTGATTTTTACTTCTTCCAAGCAGGAAGCCGCCTCCAGGTGATTTGCATTTCACTTTAAAACATAATCCTGGAAGGGGCCTGCCTGAGGTTCCAAGAGACAGGGAGACTAAGCCTGGGAGATCGATACAGGCACACCACAGAATGGGGTACTTGATAAGCCTCCCCATAGTGCCAGAAGTAGAGCCAGTCTGAGATCTGTTTTTGTTAACCCTTCAGTACCTGAAATTTTATCTGCACCTTTATCTACTGCCTCCAGAGCCCATCAACGCTCCTCCCAATGCCCAAGCACCTTGGCCCCAGGATGCTGGCTAATAGTGTCCACCTACCTGGGGGTGGGTCCCTGCCTAGGGGACTTTTATCTGAGGACACCTATTGGGAACAGAAGACCTCAAAGCCTTTTCTTTGTTGACATTTCTCTGTTGACATTTCTTTGTTGACAGTTCTCTGGTGCTGAAATTCTTAAGCGAGGGTGCAGAACTGCATCTCAACAAGGAATCTTTCATTCGTTCAACATTTATTGAGTGCCTCCTACACTCCAGGCAGCATGGCAGGCTCTGAGAATACACAGGCACTATGATTGCACATCAGCCAATGTAAGGCTCAGGCAACATGAATTGAATGAGACCCAGTTCTCTACCTTTGAACTTGAATACTCTTTCTGGTGTTCCAGAGACTACCCTTCACTCTGCTTCTGTGTCTGGCTGATACACATTATCCTTCAAACTCAGCCCCGTGTCACCTCCAGGAGCTGGGTACACTTCTTTTGCCTCCTCTTGTAGCCCTTGCATTACTCTGTCTTGTCATTGCCACATTTTGTGAACTTCAGCT